AAGGAAAAAAAGAAAGAAAGAAAAAAGAAAAAAGAAGATCATTTTTAGTTCTTAACAATTATACTCATTTTTCTCTACTTCTATTCCTTCTGTATTTTTCTTTTTTTCTCTCTTTCTATTTCTTTCTTTTTTTCTCTCTTTGATCGAGGAACAAGCTCGACGAATCAATTTGTACAAGATCTACTTGAAAAACAATGCAAAAAAGAAAAAAAGACAAACAAGAGGAGAAAATGAAAGAGAATAGAACTCGGCTTAACATTCGAATCGATAATTATTTAGGGAAACTTCACTCGGATGTTTCTAATCTAAAACGGCAATCGTCCAAATGTAAATTATACGATACTGTTTACGAATCTCGTTTACTCGTACAGAGTATGCAACTTGCGTCATACTATATACATACGTACGTATATACGTACATACATATATGCATACATAGATACATGTATACATATATACGTACATATGGATTCTCTCTCTCTCTCTCTCTCTCTCTCTCTCTCTCTCTCTCTCTCTCTTTCTCTTAGACCAACACGTATAATGGCGATATCGATTGAACGACATTTCGGTAGGTGTGGGAGAATATTGGAAGCCGATGTCCGATCGTAGGATTTAACTAAGGTGGAATTCAACGCTTCGAGGTACTTGGACGTCATATCCGTAAGCGAGGGCTCTTGCTCAGACGCTCGTTAGATCGAGAGCTGAAACACTCGTGTAAATTACAAGGGTTAAGGGTGTATCTTTCTCTATATGAAAATCGTTTTAAACGATCTATTTTATCTATCGAATTTCTCATGTGCAAATACGTGTATATAAATTAATTAAAAAATTTTTTTATCTATATAGGTAAGATACATATACATATGTTTTCTCTTTTACCGTGAAAGAAAAAAAAAAAGAAAAAAGAAAAAAAGATTTACATTAAACCGTACAAATTTTTTTCATAGTTTAATGTACCCGACATACGTATATATATATATATATGTCATGATTCAACCCTGTAATACTAGTCGATAATTTACGTAGAACCAACCGTGAACTCACGCCAATGGACTTTTATAGAAAATATTTTTTTTTACAAAACATCAAACGCACCCGTACAGACATACACATACATATGTACACTCATACGAGCACACGGACACGTGCACACAGAAATGCAAAATACAACGTTGAAACGATGGATCGTAAATAAACGTGATTTTTTTCGGGAGTGTTAACGCGCAAATTTCGATATGCATGACTGAATATAGTAGTACATATCACGTGGAAACATCGAATTAAAGCTTGATGTAAAATTTTCAAAAGGGTTTTTGTTGTGATCTTGTTGTTTACATTTGTTTTCTTTCTTTCTTTCTTTCTTTCATTCTTTCATTCCCTTTTTTTCTCGTTTCTTTTTTTTTTTCTATTTTTGTTAGCAAAAAATCGTGAAATCCAACCACCAACAATCATAACGCGGCCCAGTAACGTGGAAGATTATATTTTTCATTATGCACATTTATCTCGTTTTCTCAGTGGGCGATTTACAATGATCATCCTTTTCGTATCTGTAAAAGCTTATTTATGTATATTAGATTTGAATAACGATTTCGATTGACATTCATCAAACGAATCGAGTTATTCAATTATTATTATAATCATTCATCCGACGTAACTCAAGTATTACTTTTACGTTCATCGATAAATCAATTTCAACGATCTATCTAAGAATTTCATTCTTAATGATTTTTCTTTTTTTTTTTTTCTCCTTTCCTTCCTTCCTTCTTTCATTCTTTCTCTCTTCCACCTTTTATACGTCTACGATCTTTCTACAGATAATCGATCGTAAAGAGAAAACGCGCGAGATTTTAAATAAAGATACATTACTATATTTGGAAACGGAGGCAAATAGATTTCGGGAGTTCATTTTTTGAAATAGGAATAATGACGGGAATCATTCGTAGAAAATTTCCTGTTGGATCATCGATATTCAAATTCGATCGTAAAAGAGACAAGAGAAAAGAGAAATCGGACCAGGAAACTGACGGATCTAGCAATCTCCCTTCGCCCTTCTATTATTCTTTCTCGTTCGATCTGTTTTTCACGATTATCGTGGGAATTCTTACTTGGAAAAAGGAAAAGAAAAAATGGGGAAGTAAAAAACAAGGTGAGAAGAGAAGAAAGAGGAAAGAGAAAAAGAAGGGGAAAAAGAAAAGGAAAGAAAAAAGACAAAAAAAAAAGAAGAAAAGAAAAAGAAATTTCATAGATGACAACCGATATCGTCCCTTTAATTCCGGCATACGAATTCTGAATATATATATATATATATATATATATATATATATATATATATATATATATATATAAGTCAGGGATTTCTCCCTAATGCTTTTCCACCGCCCCTCATCCGTCTCTTTTCAGCTGTTAATTAATTAATCGTTTAATCTTATAACTTTAATCATCGCGAACGTACGATTTATTACGAGCTATGATATATCTATCATTATGATATATTCTAATATTAAAAGGAGTAATACGTCGAATGCATTCTTTCGTCGTATTTTAGATTTGTACGTATCTGTTCGTTCGATATATAAAAAGGTATGGGCGGGGGATGAAATAAAGTTTAAGAAGAGAGAGAAAAAAAGTGAAAGGGTTGAAAGGGAAAAGAAAAAGAGTGATAGAAACAAACCAAAAAAATAGAAATAGAGAAGGATTTTCCTTCCGACGTTTAGACAACGTTTAGACAAAAGACATACACGAATGAACTCGAACGAGGCGTCCAAACGTTTGGTGGTAATTTTCTAGAGCGACATACTTTTTTTCCTTTTCTTTTTTTCCTTTTTTCTTCTTTTTTCTCTCTCTCTTCTCTCTTTTTTTTTTTTGCGTTTTTTCTTTTTTTTTTTTTTTTTCGTCGAGCTCTATCCATCCCGATCCGTACTCTTTCTCTTAACCGTCCGTCTCAACGTTTCTCTCGTCGTTCCTGCATTCTTTCATCAACCCCGCCCCCCCCTCCTCATTCTCCATCCCCCATCCCCAACTCTCTACCCCTACATTGTCTCTCATTCACCCTCAGGCAACACTTTATACCTAGTACCTTCTTCGTCTCGAAAGCCTCGTATATGACCGACCGTTCTCTATATCGTCTACTAACCGTGTCTACTTATGTCTGACTGACGACGGATAAAATTAAAACGATTTTATATCGAATTGGTTAGCTTTCCTTTTTCTTTTTCTTTTTCCTTTTTCTTTTTCCTTTTTCTTTTTCTTTTTTTTCTTTTCCTTTTCTTTTTTTCTTTTCTTTTTGTATTTAAATCTCAACATTACGCTCATCGATTTGAATCCTTTAACACAGATATTTAATTAGAATTATACGAAGTATGTAAGAAAGCTAATGTAACGTTACTTGCAAAAGTATATACAATATGTATGTATATATGTATATTTACACATATATACATATATCTAATGTATATATATATATATGTATATATATATATACATATGTCATGGTATTTAATATTAACGAAATAAATTTTTGGATAAACATGTTATAAAACCTGAAGAATTTGGGATTTTAAATTTTCATTAAAAGTAGATAAGAATTTTTCCAAAATATTCGATGGTACTCTCTCTCTCTCTCTCTCTCTCTCTCTCTCTATATATATATATATATATATATATATATATATATATATGTCCTATACAAATATTTTTCCACGTTACGATACTGGATCACCGGAAGCTCGTAAATGCTTTTAACTTTTTTTTTCTCTCCATTCTCTGTTCTTTCTCTCTCTCTTTCTCTTTCTCTTTCTCCTTTCTTTGTGTTTATCCGTCTCTCTCAGTTGCTTCACTCCAATGTATCACGAGGCACCCCTCGGCAGTAGCTCGTTCCACTTTTACGCCTCGCGCGAATGTGGATGGCCATTCACGATATTCACAATGTGTCTCATCTTTGATAATAAATTTTTAATGGCGAGTCGACGCTTCAATCCACGGCGGATAGCGCAGTTCAGAGGAGTAGCTACGCGAGAAAAGCCATGAAGTCAACAGAATTCTCACTAACGTGAGGGCGTTCATTAACGCATATGGTGGATATGTATAAGAAGTGACTTTCCACGTATATGCATACATATATGCATATGTACATATATACATATATCTAAATACATGCATGAATACACTCTGGTCCGGTCTAAAGAAAATCTAACAAACTCGTACGAAACAAGGTGATTAAATAGAAAAGAAAAGGAACAAAAAAGAAAAAAAAAGAAGGGGAAAAGGAAACGAAAGCATTCGCAAAAGATTCGTAATTTAATTAGAAGCCACGTAGGAAAAGTAGCGAATAAGGGATGCTTAAAATGTTGCAGACAAGGAGTTTGAGAGACAGAGAAAGAGAGAAAGGAGAGAGAGAGAGAGAGAGAGAGAGAAAGAGTGAGTTTGGAGTTTGATCGGCTTAGCTCGGTTGTATGTTATTCGTTTTCTTTATCCCTCTCTCTCTCTCTTGTTTTTTCTGGCCTTGCTCCTACGTCACTTTTTTTTCCACCCTCGGTCAACTAGAAGAGAAATCCGTCGTAGGAGTGCAATGGGGGGTGAAGGATGGTGAAGATGCGGTAGCATCGCGGGGGTTGAGTATCGGTCGCGAGGTTACTAGATGGTGGAAGGGTGGAGAGTGCGGAGGAGGAGTTCTCTCCCTTCTTTCTTCTCCACCACCACCACCATCACTACCACCACCACCACCACCACCACCACCACCACCACCACCACCACCACCACCACCACCACCACCACCACCACCACCACCACCACCACCACCACTACTACCAGTACCACCACCACTACTACACTAACATCGCCACTACTACCTCTACTTCTACCTCTACCTCTACCTCCTTCTCTACCTCCTCTTCTACCACCACCTCCTCCTCCTCCTCCTCCTCCTCGTCGTCCTCGTCCTCGTCCTCCTCCCTGCTGACACTTCACCCCACTCCTAGTCTGTCGGGCGCCAACGTCGGCCGCTTTCGAGACGTTAAGGCCGACACTCGCGCGGCGCACTTCGGCCGGACGACATCGGATCCGCGAACGCGAGAACACGTGCGTTTCTAGTTCCCTGTTATTTTATATATTTATTTATCTCTTTGAATAATCTCGAAAAATTAAAATAATCAATAAGTATATATATATATGTATGTATATATATATATATTTATATATATATATATTTATATATACACGTATACATATAGAAGATATTTTTATTGATTTTAAGTGACGTATCTATTTAAAACTGTTATTACAAATTGATTCTTTATTTTCGTTTATTAAAACAAATATTTATTTATCATCTCCTTTTATTTCCTTTTCTTTTTTAACTTTTTCCTCTTCTTCTTCTTCTTCTTCTTCTTCTTCTTCTTCTTCTTCTTCTTCTTCTTCTTTCTCTTTTCGATAACTTGTGTATTATAAAGTGAGACGATGTGTGAGTGAGACAGTTTATTAAAGTCTTTTATTCTATATCTCTTTTTTTTTATTGGTGTGTGAAAGAAGAGAGAAAAAGAAAGAAAAAGAGAGAGAGAGAGAGAGAGAGAAGATACCATCATCTTCTTCTTCTTTTCCACCTCCATGCTCTTTTCGTTCATGCTGAAAGCTTGCACGAGGTGGAAACTCGGCGATCTTTGACGAGAGAGTTCAGTTGAAAGAAGGAGTTGCCTCGGAGAAGTAATTAATTGAGCGCAAAGGAGGAGGGTGGTGGTGTGGAGGTGGCGGTGGAGGAGGTGGCGGCTGTGGTTGGAGAAGGACGAGACTCATAAAGGACGTCCTTCCACATAGGAACCACGAAGATAAGGATGGGGTTTTACGTCATCTTTGTAAGTACAAAATAGTCTTCTTTCTCTTTTTTCTTTTCTTTTTTTTTTCTCCCTAAGTACGCGATAGTCCAAATCACCCCAACATTTTTCTTATACATTTACCTATATATATATATATATGTGTGTGTGTGTGTGTGTGTGTGTGTGTGTGTGTGTTTGTATAGTTTTTTTGGTCATTTGTTTATTTCTTTTCCTTTCAGTCTAAGTTCTACGTTCTTTTCTTGTTTTCATTTGCTTTTGACAACTTTCCTTTTTTTCTATTATCTTCTTTTTTCTTTTTTTTTTTGTATTTTTTTTTATTTTTTCATTTCACCAGAATCCGTCGTTGTCGTCGTCGTTTTCGAAGAACAGAAGTTTTTGTTGACGATAATGTTTTTTCTTTTGCAAATTTTTTTTCTTTTTTATTCGTTCGTCCTTTTATTCCTTTTCATGTCATCTTCCTCTCTCTCTCTCTCTCTCTCTCTCTCTCTCTCTCTCTCTTTCTCTATTTTTCTCCATCTTGAGAGTTTACCGGTCTTCAATTCGTACGAGTTTCTCTGGATTTTCAACTTACCTCGAGTTTCTCTGTTTCTCCCGTGAAGAAGATCAAAGAAGACCACGTCGCTTTAATCTGCCAATGACGAAATACCGCGCATCTTCCTTCATCTTATTTGACTTTGCTATCGTTCTCTCTCTTTCTCTCTCGTTCTCTTTCATACTCGTGCTCGTCGTAGTCTCGTACCTTTTCATCGTAGTCCTTGTCCTCATCTCTTGGGTATAGCGTTCGTACGACTTTGAAATGCTTTCTGCGTGTCCTTCTACGACAGCTGCCTCTTTTTTTCCCTCCCTTGAGAACGGAAGATGGAAAAATTAACGTCGGTGCCACGTGATTCTACTCTCTTCGGGCGAGAAACGCGAATCGGGTCATACGGCTGATGCACGCGATCTCCTTTGCATTTTTTCTATTTCCAAACCAAATTTTCTCTCTCTCACTCTTTATATATATATATATATATATATATATATATATATACATATATTTTTTTTTGTCTCTTTTTTTCTTTCTTTCTTTTTCTGGATTATTAAAAATTTTTCTCTCTTTTTCGATAATAATTTTTTTACTTTTAATGCGTATGATTACTATCCACCACCACCACCACCACCATCACCACTACTACTATTACTACCATTACTACTATGGTAAATCTCGTTAGACCAACGCTCGACCACTCGTGAAATCCCTCAGGATTAAGCTCGTCGATCATCGACTTCTGGCTCGTATATAAACAAAGGACCGATTGTTCACAAGCTTCGCTTTAAAGCCGAAGATCAAATTTCGGTCTAATGTATTATGTCAAAGGAAGATCGTCGTCGGTTTTGCGCGCATAGATCGTAATCAGGTGATAACTTTATCCGTTAAGATCCCTTGTCCTTTTTTTTTTTTCTCTGGTTCTATGATGTTCACGGTAATTAACGTTTCATATATATAAAATGTTAATTACTACGTATATATAATATATAAAACATCGACAATCGACGAAGGATCATCGGCTACGTATGATAAAGCGAGCATACTCTTAGATAAGCAATAATACAAATTTTCATGTTAAATTAAATAAATATATATATATGTGTTTTTTTTGTTTTGATTAAAATTAAATATAGACGATCGACTTTTAGTCGTTTATATCGGACAATAATAAATTTATGAGATAAAATTAATTTTTTATAACGACGTCATAGAAAAACCTTGTTTACATTCGGTTTATCTTCGGATTATTGATAAACAAAGTTTTGCTATCGATCATTAGAAAGATGCTTCGTATACTTCAAATATGTCAAGTGACATCGATTCTTTTAGAGAGGGAGAGAGAGAGAGAGAAGTGGACAATACGACGAGCGAATAAAAAGAGAAAGAAAGAAGTTGGTCGAAAAGTTAAAGAAAAGTCTTTCTCAGGTAATAGTAACAGTAATAGTAATGGTAGTAGTGGTATTGATGATAGTGGTGGTGGGTAACGGTGGTGGTGGTAGGCGAGGAAAGAAAAAGCTTTGCCGTTTCTTTTCGCGGTTGCAGCCCTGAAGAAATTCCTTGTGTGTGTGTGTGTGTGTGTGCGTGTGTGCAAGGTACGAATCCTAAAATACGAGAAGCACAACGGCCTGCCTCCTTGCCGTTTCCCTTCGTAGTTTTCCTAGAGCGTAGACTATTTGGTCCGGAAAAGTCACGAGCACCTTACGAACGTTCTTGAAATGGTACACACACACACACACATATTTATATAGATATATATATATATATATACACACATAGATAGGTCGGAGGGTGTGTAGTCCTTTTTCTTCCTTCTCTTTCTCCTTCTTCTTCTTCTTCTTCTTCTTTTTCTTTTAAGTGCGTTTGCAATCGAGCATTTTTCACGAGTCTCTGAACGAGATCCTTTCCACGTATTCTTACCTTTCTATTTTTTTATTCTTTTTTATTTTCTTTTGTTTCTTTTTTTGTTTTTCTTTTTTTCTTTTTTCTTTT